TGGCAGAATTGTGCGAAATGCTCATATAAGCCATTAATAAAAGAAGAAGAAGAACTTTATCGAATTTTCAATTTCAAATGCGATGATTTTTTGTTATACTATCTTGCAATGCAATGTGGTGAATAAATCTGATCGCAGGTCTGTGCAAGTCGACATTCATAACAAGTAGGTATCATAATTATCGACTCAACTTGAAAAGCACTTTGTATCTCGAAACAGAATCATATATCATGTCGAGAGTGTGTTGTATCACTGTGGTATTGTTACATACATGTATAGGTTACATAGGATAAACTCTAATTTTGACGTCATTGTTTTGCCATCAAAGCAAATCCAGGAAGATGTCCACACTGTTCCCCAGCAATTAGTATAACTGTGCCAATTCATAAAAAATGTTTTAGTACACAAAAGTAAAGTTTCAGTTTTCATTTTGCATTTTCTAATTGGGGTGTAGAAGTATGGGTATTATTTCTGTTACACTTATTTTTTTATCCACGTATTTTTCAAACTGAAAATAATACTGTTTCAATTAATATTTATATCGTGGTATATAAAATAGGTATGAACACAAACATTCTTCTTTGTAAATAAACCTAAGGTTTTGTTATAATTAAAATAAAAAGTTTCTTCTGAGTAGAGCAGTATAGCACCTTTGAGAACATTGTTATGCTCGTCAGTGTTACTATCGGATACTAACAAATTAGTTACCAATATTTGAATAAATCCTATTAATATTATAAAGGCGAAAGTTTGTAAGTATGGATGTATGGATGTTTGTTACTCTTTCACGAAAAAACTACTGGACGGATTTGGATAAAACTTTACAGCAATATAGGTTATACATCAGAATAACACATAGGGTACTTTTTACTGGGAAAACTTCTCACTCCCACGGGATACCGACTTCCACGCGGACGAAGTCGCGGGCGTCCACTAGTCATAAATAAATTATAGACCCCTGAACCCTGAACAAATCATAAATAGACAATTCATAAAGAGACAAATCATAAAGAGACCCCTGAACAAATCATAAATAAATTATAATCGTGTCTAAAATTTTATTGCACAGAATGTTTTTATCTATCATATTATTTCCTCCAAAAATATAATTGTTTAAATATATTCCCAGAGAGAGAATACTATCAGTTGTTTAAATATCTGTCACTAATTCTGACAATGATTCTTACACTGGTAACTATAGTAAAGACAAGAATAACTAAAGCAAATATATTTTTAGACAAATAAACAAAAATTGAATGAAGTAAGAAGCTTCTTACTCTATCAAACTATAAATTGCTTCTCTCGACTATAGATATTATTAGTGTAACTATGCCGCTATTGTGCAGCAATTATTAACTGGCTTCTTTTTGTATGAATTGCTTAAAATGGTAACTAAAGAAAGTTTAATTGCTTTTTTACAGTTATCAATGTAACTAAAGATCCGATTGCATTACTTGTGGTTTGTGCCACTTGTTTCAATTTGTTAGCAAGCGGCGGTGCCCAGTACAACATTTATATCTTTATAATGTTCAAATGCTATCTCACACGATGAAGTTTTTTAATTAGACGCGTTATTGGCGGGCACGATAAATTCCTTTCGAGGTGAGCTCATTTAAGGGTAAAACCGGCTCACTCCGCTGTCCGTCTGTCTTAATCTTCATCTCAAAATTTTTACAGATGATGTATTTCTAACAAATATAATAAATATACTAAAATAATAAGTAGTTCAGTGGCGTAGAGGATAAGCACCCTGGCCTGCGATCGTTATTGTTAAGCAACTTTCACAAGGGTCGGCCACGGGATGAGTGACCAAAAACTTATTATCTCGAGCTACTTCGTGCTTCGGTAGGCACGTTAAGCCCTTGGCCCCGGCTGCATTTGCAGTCGTTAATACCCACCAAACCGCATTGGGCCAGCGTGGAGGGTCATGGCCCATCCTCCTTATCATCCATAAGGAAGGCCTGAGCCCCTGCAGTGGGAACGTAAAAAGGGCTGATGATAAAAATAATATTTAAAGAGGGATCCCACAAAACAAACGTGTTTTTTGCGTTTTTATTAGTTAAAGGTACGGAACCTTTCGTGGGTGAGTGCGATACGCACTTGGCTGGTATTATAATCGTATTGACTAAGTACCTACCGATATCTATCATCGATTTCTCAAAGAGCCAGTTGCACAAACGTCGATTAAATTTTTCATTAGTTTAAAGTGACATTACCCATACAAATTTGACATTCATTAGGGCTTAAAGACGTCATTAAACCATAATGGACGTTTGTGCAACTGACCGAAAGACTAAAAATCTAGTTTAAACGATATGAACTTTGAAATGTATCGAAGTCGTAATGTAGTAGATTATTAAAGTTCAACGAACCGTAATTTCTCGTTGAACTTTATATAGGTGCGGTGACTTGCACGCTATTTGAATTAAGTACGTTGAATATGAGTCATTGAAGAATCTGGTTGCAATTAATATGTCATCTGATTGCCTATTATATTTGTCTTCGAACGGAAGTTCGAATTTTGGTAAAATCATATTAAAATATCTGTGCACAAGAGACAGTGTCAGGTCTTGCTTCCAAAACCTGACAAGACTTGCGTTATTGATGATTTTACTTGATGGGTGACTCAACGCCCATTGAAGGTGCTGTCAAATGCACGAGTCAAGTCAGTGATTAAAGTTATACAGGTGTAATTAAACTGCTTCGCTGGGCGGGAATCGAACTCTGACTTTTTGAAAAACAAAAATATGTTACATTATTTTTACTTAGATTATGTAGGTCTTAAATAGTTAATGTTACTATGAAACATGATGTCAAAAAGGAAGTAGCAACGATAGAGACAAATTTACACACCTAAACAAGTTGAATGTTGTATTGAACAAAAAATTGTTGTAAATTCGAACACCTAAAATAAAATAAAGAAGTTATGTGATTAAAACAATGCAATTTACTCATTTAAGACATCATGTTTCATAGTAACATTAAAGACTTAAGTCAAAATCAAAGTATTTTATTTGCGCACTAATATGTATCTACATTGGAATGTTCAACAATGTTTCAAAACCAAATATTATATAACTATTATTCCACCTTATTCTTGGAGGCATGAAAATTTTAAAATTTTAATTTTAAAAATATTGTTTTTCCTAATACTACGTGCATTTGTTACATTTTAAAATATACGGGGTGTTTTTTGACAAATAAGCACAGCTCCAATATATACATAGAGGGCACCCCTGCAGATTGTTCGAATGCATTCTCTTGAGTTGTAAATGCCATCTGATAGCGATCTACACAAATGCGCTATATGCGCCGATAAGCTATTAATAAAAGAAGACGACCGCTTAACGGTAGCATCGAGTCAGCGTCGCACATAGACTTGTCATGTGGACTTTTTTAATCCGTCAAGTCGCGTCACGCACATGCCGTCATTTAAAATTTCCGCCAATTGTAATCAAGCCGTGAAACGACTTAATGGGTAGCATCAAATCAACGCAGTAAACGAACAATATTTGCTTCAATCAAGTAGACCTGACAAGTCGACTTGATTGTTTCCGGGGCCCATAATTTGTGCGAGTACTAATCGCTTAATTATATTCTTTTCATTCACTTGTTTATAAAGAAATATATTTATAATATAACAAATAATGAAGTAGACGAAAACATCTATTTTAACAAAAAAGGCTGAATGATAAATGCTGGTTCATTGCTTTTAATAATGCCACAAAAAAGTGTTGGTCCTACAATAACCAATGGTCAAATATTATACGTTATTGACAAAACCCAAATACTTTATAAAAAAATTGCCGAAAGCGACTCTTTAAGAATGTTTTTAATATTTGACTTGCTAAAATCTGTAAAACACAGTTTAAATGCAATGGTAGCCATTCTTATCATTGTTGCTGTGTAATCATTAGATATTGCTACATTCTTTAATAGTCGATAGTTAAGTAATGTTGAAACCATTATTTCTTTCAGCAAGGAATTTCAAAATCATTGATATTGGAAGTATGTTCAAAGAGTAAATATGCTTAAATCAAACCTTCACGGTTAACGTTTGCCATAATGAAAAAGAAATTGAATCAGATTTTTTTTATTTGTGATAAAATATTTTGTTTTGCAAACAGAAAACATAATTGAATTTTGATCATTATTATTTAAACAATAACTGTAAATAAGTAAATAATAATAGTGTAAATAAGGGCGTGAAACATTATAAACCTATTAACATTAAATGCAAAATTGTTAGCAAATATAAGTTAGGTATCTATAATAATAATCACTTGAAAATATTGTTTACGAGAAAAGTCTTAATTGTGAAACTTTTGTAGTTAGTATTTAAAGTACATAGAATAGATAAATGAACGAACAAACTTTTATTTGCCTCCCGGTTTTGTTCATACTGTAAAAGATATCGATCTTCGATGTTAAGTTGTTAATGATATTTCTTAACAGAAAACATAATTGAATTTTGATCATTATTATTTAAACAATAACTGATATTGAGATGATTTCATTTCCTTTGTTGATATTTTGGAACACATTGATCAGTAATGTTGTTATTGCTTTTAATGTATCATTGTTTAGCGTAATAGGTTTTATTAGATAAACAAATGAGGAGAACAACTACAATTAAAGTAGGTTGAAATGCACACAAGGCATGCAAATTGATCTTGAATTAGTTCTATTCGATTATTTATAATAAAGTAAAGAAAATCAGTAAGTTAGAATGCAAAATGTAATAATTAGGTTAAAATAATGTCAGCAATTAGTTTGTGTATTTACTTTATACGATATATCTAGGCAGGATAACGTGCACATTACAATAGGTAGGTTTAATCTCTGGACGATTTATGATTAATGCTGGCCGATAATATTTTGAATTATTACTTTTTCCCAGTTCGAATTAGCGTGTTCGTGTTTTGCTGGTTGAAAATCTTTCTTTCTGATCGAGATCGGCATAGAGTCAGTATCTTAGAATTTAGTTGTAAGTGATTTGATGTATATTATTTTCAAATAAAATCAAGAGGTTAAAGAATTATAGATTTCATTGCGCCATCCAGAGCTACTGCTGATCCCACCAATTACTTGCATATCACCTACTGAGATATTATACCGACATGCTACGTAAGTATAATGCAATAATAAATATTTTATATATACTGCATCTTGATTAGTCTGAATAGTATAGTCTTAGATGGAATCTTCGCGCTTTTAGAGCAGACTATGCTATTCTCAATCAACTCACTATTAAAAGGACGAAAATGTATGTATACGTCTTACCATTCTAGGATATAATAATATGCTTACTGAGTGAATTTGAATTCTGGTTCAGATTTTTACAGAAACGCAGTTTACAACACATGTGTGGGAATATAGTTACTTAGTTATTATGTTTATATCGAACACTGGGAACGCATGCGCCTTTCGTTCGCCGTTCGAGCGCATTGGCAAATGATTCAGTCTGGCATGACAGTCGTCCGCAGTTACCACTCGGAAACTACGGTGCTACATCTCTCTGCCATTGACAGTACAACAGTTTGTGCGGCAAACGGCGCCGGGCGTGCGCAATAGTGTCCGCGTTGTATACATACATTCGATTTTCGAACGCGCCGTGACAATTAAATTGGTTCGAGGAATTTGAATTAAAAACAAAAAATAGAACGCTGTCTATGAAATTTTTGAATAAGTTCGAATGGTTTTTTGTTTTGTGATTGTTTTACAATAGGGGGCTAGTGTCGTGCATTATTTTGTGTGTTTTATGATCTAATTTTAAACAGCACTACTAAAGGTGAGTGGCCTCTTTTTTGTTGTATGTAAAATGAAATATTTTATGGATCACGCAATCAAGTGCGATATCTGAAGAAATCACTTTTAATGAATAAACTTATCAGGTTATCGTAAAACATTATAATTATAACCTATTAACATTAAATGCAAAATTGTTCGCAAATATAAGTAGGTATCTATAATAATAATTACTTGAAAATATTGTTTACGACAAAAGTCTAAATTGTGAAACTTTTATAGGTAGTATTTAAAGTACATAGAATAGATTAATGAACGAACAAACTTTTATTTGCCTCCCGGTTTCGTTCATACTGTAAAAGATATCGGTCTTCGATGTTAAGTTGTTAATGATATTTCTTTTCAAATTTTTTTTGCTATTTAGGTAAATTTAAAAACATTGATTATATACAGAAAGTTTTTTTTTTTTATCAAATAAGGGTTTTAGCGACTTTTTTTGCAATCTGAACTAATAATATGTACCTATCCTCTTTGATCTAAAATTTTGCTCGTAAAAATGAACATATATGAAAATCAAATCAAATGACATATCACAGAGGAAATTACAAACAAAAACCATATAACAATACATATACCTAGCAATAATTTCAATTTTATTTCGATTTTACATAAAAAATGTACAAAGAGCTTTATTTACCCTAGCACCAAAACTGTTTTTGAATCCCGCATAGTTTTTAATCAAAGCATAATGTATTATAAGGTACCTGGGTCGAATATGGCCAGCCGAAAAATATAGCCACATACCATTATTACAAACACTAAATATTTTAATAACCTAATCGCGACCATAAATTGTCGCTCGTGTCGCATGTATCCGAACGGAGTACCTGTTAACCCTTCCCGCGCCCTGCTGGTCGTCCAGTGTCGGTTAAAGCAAAATAACTGTACAGGTTATAAAAAAATTAAGTAAGTATTGTTCTGTATTTTATTATTCTTCGAATAAGAATATTTGTAAATCATATTACGATGTTGTGTGACGATTGTAATTTGATATTTCTTTGTTTAATTATCAAAATAATATTGGTTTTTCATTCATAAATATGAAAACGTAAACATGCATGACGGCAAATATGGCCAGTGTTTGGCCATATTTCCGGTACTTTTTGTTCGGTCCGGTTTTGTTTTAGACTATGCCGCGTTATATAGCAAAAGGGATTCGAGGTAATTGATCAGAAGCATTAATAAAACAAACTTTAACTGCAGTCAAAAGCGCTAAGATGAAAGAAAATACGGCTGCAAATCATTATAATGTGCCAAAGTGTAAGTACTTTAAGGCGTTATCTACCATAGAAAAAAGAAACAAAAACTACTTTGGGACCGAAACCACTTCTTAACCCTGATCAAGAGAAAATTTTATCATCCCGAGTTATTCGTCTGTGCAACGTGGGATACCCATTAACACAACGTGTCCTACGTAATTGCGTTTAAGAAAAAAAATTTGTATCTCATTGTTGATTGTTGATTTTCAATTTCTTGTTTCTTTATTTGTACATATTGCCCAAAGAATATATTTTATTAAATAAATGCTCTAGTAAAACATAATATCCCTTTTTATTTAATATTATTTAGAAGATTTTTAAATATGTAAATTGATACAGTAAATATGGCCACATACAGGGCATATTTACATACCCCATCGGAAATATGGCCAAATTCTAAATTTTTTAAAAATGTTGAAATTACTTTTTGTGTATTCAAGTCTTTGTATTTTTTTTGCCTTTATTGTAAAGATAAATAGCCACTCTTTATGAATGTGTGCTAAAACTAATTTGTTTTAGCTTTATTATTATTAAAAAAGGACTACAAACCTTAACGTGGCCATATTCGACCCAGGTACCTTACCTACCTATTGTTCTTGGTAGTGAAGTGAGTGTTCAATATCGGTAATGCATTGTAATTTTTGATCTTAAGCGAAACCATTTAGAAATTCCTAGGTAATAAGCATCATAACAATAGCTCGGTGGCGTAGTGGATAAGCGTCGCGGCCCACGATCGTTGTTGTTAAGCGACTTTCGCAAGGGTCGGTCACGGGATGGGTGACCAAAAAATAATTATCTCGATCTACTTCGTGCTTCCGAAGGCACGTTAAGCCGTTGGTCCCGGCTGCATTTGCAGTCGTTAATACCCTCCAATCCGCATTGGGCCAGCGTGGAGGGTCATGCCCATCCTCCTTAACCATCCATAAGGAAGGCCTGAGCACCTGCAGTGGAGACGTAAAAAGGGCTGATGATGATGAAGCATAATAACATTGGTGTTATTATCATAATCACATTTGCTGTTTTTTCGGCGACTTAAAAATTTAGTCTATGTCACCTGCGTATGCTTGCCGTAGGTGAACGAATTCTTAGCGAATAGACAATAGGATTAGATAGGACGCTCGGCCAACAAATGTAAGACCGGGCATTAATAAAAAAATAGGGCAAATTCTTAAACCGGTCCAGTATTTTCGGAGCTTATTCAAGCAAACAAACAATCAAATTTTTCCTTTTTATATTATTAGTATAAATAAGCAAAATACACAGTTTCCTAGTGTCATCGAAAAGTTAACATTCCTTCCTTTTTTAATAATAGACTCAGCTTTGATAGCAAAATTACTGTTATTAAATTGAATTAAAGCTTTTATTAACCAGTTGATTTTATCTTATTTGTATTCATTCATATTAATTTGACATTGACCTCGTGATGCCCTTGCTACTGTCAATACTACTACTAGTAGTATGGAACTTCCTAGCTTAGAATACCGATTAAGGAAATTATTGAATCGAAAATTTTGTTTATTTGATTGCCCACTAGTTCACAAGCATGTTTAAGAAGTAAATTTTGTACTTAAATCCTATTCTGTGATAAAGTCAACGTCGAACACAGCGCTGTCAATAATATAGAGGCATATGATGCAAATAGAAACCATATTTGAAATTATGCCTCCATCAAATAAAACCTTCTTAAAAAGGTTGAAAAGTTTTATTTCATAGAACCATTATGTTTTAAGTGTCAGCGCTGTGTTCAACATCGAGTTCGACGCTGATTTTATTACAGAACGGCAAAGCGGATTCAGGCAAACATATCTTTAATTGTTTTAATTTTTAACCAAGTTCAAAGTTAAAAGAAGTTATCTATTTAACCCGTGTAACGCGAATATCTTAATTTTTATTTATTTGATATATTTAATAAACTTATTGACCAGCGAATAAGTGGTACTATCAACGGACTTAATGATAACAGCATTCTCTACCAGTTAATGTTTGGGAAAAACAAAAACACGATGGCGGCATTAAGAGAATCTACAAATATCGAACTAATAATTACACAAAAATGTTATATAAATACAAATATTATAGCCATAGTATATAAGTTTGCAGCTTATTTATCATATTTAATTCAAAGGTTGACTCCTTTTTAACAGACTTCGAAAAAAGAGGTAGTCAAATTGACCTATACGTACGAAAGTAATTTTATTAGAATAACGCAATATTTATATGGGTTTCTAAATTTTATTTAAACACTTATATTATACAAGTGTATATATGAGTATACACTTACAAAGTTTGTTTATCCAAGTATTTCTTTCAAATTAGATATCGTATCGCAATATTTTTTTTTAATAATTTAGCTTTCAACTTCGGGAATACTACAATTTTCAAAAAAAGAATGTTGAGTAGTTTTAATAATTTATTATAAGGACTTTAAAAGAATAATAAATATCTTTACTTCTTTGGAAGTCGAAAAAACAGAATCATGGACTCGGGTAACATTACAATGCTGCTTAGTGAACCTTTCGTAGGTATGTATCAAAAGCTCGACACTACATAGTTTTATCCTTGACACTGTTTACGAAATATTTAATTATACTCTAATAATACTGATATTTTAACACATAAAGATAATGTTGCATTTATCAAAACTAGATAAAGAACCAAGTATAGGATAAGAAATCAACATCTTTATCATATGAAGACAAAACATACAATACTTATCGGTATTAATATTAACATTGAAATGACTTTTTTTTTTCTAAAGGTCGTTCCTGTCTGTGAAGCTAAAATAATATTTCGAAAACAAAAAACAAAAGTAAATGTGCATCAAGTTTTAATGTTGTTGTTATGCAACGTTGGCAAGGGTCGGTCACGCTATGTGTGATCCAAAGATTATTATCCGGTTGTATTTGTCCTTCAAACTGCATTATTCCAGTATGGTCGGTCATGGCCTATACTGCTTTACCATTAATAAGGAATAATTAAACCTCTGCGGAATCTAATGTTCATAGAATAGTCATTTATTTTCATATTTTTTTTTTGTATCTCATTACTGTCATTATCTATGTAGAAAATGTATGTTTTATTTGAATATAGGTACTACTACAAGAAATTTTAAGTTTTTGAACAAATGAATATTAAAAAAATCTTCTATCCGAAAACAACATTGTACAACATGTTAGGTTATACAAACCTATCACATTTCTCCACTTGGTTTTAAATATTGAAACATAGACGATAGAGTTTAAAATCAATTTCGAAAAGTAATTGTGTATACTCACGTACTACTGTGTTTAAAATTACCATAATAAATAACATTCTATTTAGTGAAGACCACAATAACAGAACAATTTTGCTTATACCTACTTATATTATTGTCGTACTAGAAGCCAGCCAGCAGGTGACAATAAAAAATTATAACTATTGAAATTCTCACAAAAACCGCAAAACGAATTGTTTTTTCCGCAAGAAACTTATAGGTACTGATATTACTGAACTCGCTAAATGTTTAGTAAAAGTTAAAACATAGAAAACAATAGTGCCTTTGCCTTTGTTTCACGACGGTGGTTGCGTATTTAGGTTATGGTACACATAGAAAATATGTGGTGCTTAGAAACAGTTCAAGAGATTCTACGAGAACTATGTTGGCTGTGTTCAAACCAAGATCACCGTCAGTCGCCGACTGTGAGCAGGCTCACTCTGTCCATGAAAGAAGACGTAAGATTGTCTG